ACGTGATGGCCTTCAGATTCATGCGCTATAGGGCACCATAAAGGGAAGATACATTCTGGCAAGTGCATGTCGTGGATTGGCCCAAACCTTCCTCTGGTGGTATGCTGCCCGTAAGAAACAGGGAGTCACATCAGATACCCGATTCCTTGCTTCCTAGAAAAGAAAAAAAAAAGAAAAGAAAAAAAAAGGGAAAACACTCAGAACATCACTGGGCAGATTCACCTAGGTCATCAATGCGGCCTAATTTATTTCAAACTTCTATCCTGAAAACGCCCTTCCAACGTTACTTTTCTTTTTTTTATTTTTCTTTTTTTTTACGTTATGGCATATTTTTATTCTTCCTTTTTCATGCCATTTGCTCTCAGCGTCCGTGCATACGTTTCCACATGCCACGGAAAACCAACAGGACACATAGCAGCCCAGTTGCCTGTTCTCCTTAGGCCAGCCACCTTGCTCCCTCGTTGCACTACCGACCCTCTTCCGAACCCCGAAAAACGCGTAGCGTTAACGCTAAGGGCCCGAGGCCGATGTATGGGCCAAGTACTGGTGGTTTAAGGGGTAGGATTAAAAAAATTAGGGGGAACCGGTAGCACAGGACCACAGGTCCATGAGGGCTACCGGTAGTACAGTGGGGGGAGCTGGCAAAGTGGGAAAATTTAAAATTTACATTGAATTACCCCCGCGATTTATTTCATGGTTGAACTGATTTTAATTTTTTTTTTAAATATTTTTTCCTTAAACACCACGACCAAGTCTATAGACCCTCAAAGTTTCAGAGTTTTTGGGTCATTCTTTTGATTGCAAAAAATCGCTAAACTTGGGTTTCTTTTCCCATTGGCCCATACGTGGTAGAAAAGCAAAAATAGAAAATGTGACAAAGCAGCGCGGCATTTTTTTCACCGTTAATTTAAAAAAAAAAAGAAAATCTGATATTTTTCTGGAAAGATCACTGCCTGATCTACAGGATATCAAATTTTCAGATTGTTTTGCCAATTTTTCTGAGCGTGAAACATCGTCAAACTTCACGCTTGAAAATGCTTGGCCCGAACCCGCCTGCGCGACGTTAGGGTTCGGACACACAGCCACATCCTGACGTGCCAACAGCCTAACGACGGATACACTTCAAAAGACAGCAGTGCCCAAAAACAGACAGGGACCCAATCCACCATAGTGGTTATAGCATCAGGGAATCGGGTATTTCAAAATCTATGCGTGGGTTCAAATCCCAACCCAACCATTGTGCACGAACTTCAAATACTGTATATACTAATACTAATATATGTATATATACTAATACTAACATGTGTGTGTGTGTGTGTGTGTGTGGGTGGGTGGATGGGCGCCGGCCGGGCCTCCTTGCTTTTGTCGTCACCAACTCAAAGGAAGGGGCAACACAACAGACGAATACGGAAAAGAAAAGCAAAATCAGAGAAATGCGACAGAAAAGGCGGGAACACGACAAAATCAAAGAAATGCGACGGAAAAGGCGGGAACACGACAAAAGATTGTAATGGAATAAGAAAGAAAATAAAAAGGGAACCAACCGACGACGGAAAAAGGAAACAAAAAAAAAACCAAAAAGAAATGAATTAAAAAAGAAGAAAAAAAAAAGAACTAGAAATTAATTAAATAAAAGGGGGGGACGGCTATCCGACGGTGCGCGCTTCGAGATTTTCCCTCGCATCAACGCCCGCCGCCGCCCAGCCCGATGCGTGCGCTCACTCGTGTTTTGGCGTGCTGTGAACAATTCGGTGCGCGCGCCGCTCTGCACACAACCCCTCCCTCGATCGCCTTCATCCGCTGGCCCGAATCAAAACTTCGGCCCGATTCCGGCGCGCAGCGGACACAACCTCCCCCTGCGGGCCGCTCGCGCTTAAGAGGTAGGATGTATATATATATATATATATATATATATATATATATATATATATATATATATATGTATATATATTATCTATAGATATACAAGGTTACCTGACCGAACGTTCGGGGGCCCCCGGGCTGGCCCCCGAATGTTTGGGCGTTCGGGGTCCCGTTCGGGGTCCCGTTCGGGGGCCGAACACCTCCACGTTCGGCCCCGGCCAAAAAATATTTCGGGGCCTAAAAATAAGTTTTTTTTTCTGAATTTTTGTTTGTCAGTTCTCTATGACGTATTATACACGCCAATAAAGTTAGAAGCCATTCTGCTAAGCCAAAAAAACATTAAAAATCATCAAAGATGGGGGTGTCAAAACGTGCTCGCCCACTCACTATTTTGTTTTCTTTCACTTTGAACTTTTTTTTTTCACTTTATTTCGGGCCCGTAAAATTTTTATTAATTTTTGGAAATTTTTAAATGAGTTATTGATTATGTAAACTACATATCTTTAATTTTTCACGACATTTGTTGATGCCAAAAAATAATTAAAAATCGGCAAAGATGGCGGTGTCGAAAAGGTGCTGGCACACTCACTCATTTTAATTCTCTTTTTATTTTTTCTTATTTTTATCATAGTGTTTATTTTCTGTATTGGATTTTTAATTCAAATTTGGTAAAGAGTTTGGTTGTAGTGTTTAGGCAAATGTTGTTTAGTTTATGTTTCTCCATAACATAGTTTGTTTTCGAAAGTTTTTGAAAACTTTTGTTTGTTTGTTTGTTTTTTGTTTTTGGTCCGCGTTCGGCCCGAACGGCCGAACGCCTCCCAAAGGGGTCCCGTACGTTCGGGCGTTCGGGTTCCGGTGTTCGGCCCATCCCGAACGCCGGTAACCCTGTATATATATATATATATATATACGTACGAGTACGCGAGCATAAGTATGCGTACGCGGTACTACCTATGAATAAACTTTATTGTCAAAACCACGAAGGATACCGATGTAATTTTTTTCTTTCGGTATCTAGGCTACCAAAGTGGCTCGGGACCTCTTGCCCAACAAAGCCAAAAACAAAAAAAAATTAAAAATTTTCATTTTTTTTTTCAATTTTTTTATTATTATTGAAAATGTTGTAAAGAATTTTAATGTGGCATGAGGCAAACGTTGTTGAGTTTATTTTTTTGCATAACAAAGTTTGTTTTCGTTTTTTTGGGATTTTTTTATTTCCATTGTTTTTTTTTGGGACCTTTCCTCGTCCTTGCACGGCTGGGCCGCCTGTGAAAACAGGGTGACCCATGCAGCCCGGTTGGTGGCCTACTGGCAGACTGCGGCAGTTGCCTATAGGGAGAACACATTAGCAAAAAAGTGGTACATGCGTACTTAGAAAACATCCATCAGAAGCAGCGACAAACTCGAAGAAACGTCACAATGAGTACAAAACGAAAACAACTTCTGCAAGCTCAAATTCACAGCTTCCAAAAAGATTACTCTCACTCCACGCTACGCACCATTACTGCCACCATAGCTATCTCTCCCAAGGTACGACAAAGTAGTTCCCTTCTTCCGGTTTCGTCCGCCTACTCAACGGACTCGTCAGGAAGGCGCACCCTCTCGGGCACTTCTACGTACGTTCCTGAGAAAAGAAAAATAATAATATCCGAGAATTTTTGAGAGTTTCCGACTATATTGTGAACCGTCTCGACGCGCATCCCGCTTCCGGCCGTACCACCGCCTCGCAACGTATTCAGGCCAGGAAAATCAAAGTTTCCAAGAGTTCCCAACTATACCGTGAACCGTCTCGACGCGCATCCCGCTTCCGGCTGTACCACCGCCTCGCAACGTATTCAGATCGGGAAACTCAAAGATATAATAAAATAAAATAAAATAAAATAAAATAAAATAAAAGAAATTAAAAACCGCACAAAAAATTTAAAAGAGCCTCATTGCGCCATGTGGCAGTACCTGGCTTAGTACCCTCACATATTAAGGCGCTTCACCCCGAAAACTGTTTTGGCAGTTACACTGCCCGATCCTACCTGGTCGCGGTTGAGGAAAAATGTCGGACGAACTTGTCGCTGTCTGGGTCCCTGTCTGCTGATCTTCTTTTGATCCCAAAATAACTGAAAAACACCCCAGAACTTTCTTAAAATTTCGTAGCCCGTAACCTTGGCCAATTTGGCCAAGGCCCCTAGAGAAACCTCCGGGGTGTAACCCCGGAGGATACTCTCTGTCATCGCATATGCCACTGAGCTGGTTGCCAGGGTCTGTGCTGTTGACGAGTACCACAGCCTCTTAAAAGTGGCCGAGAGAACTCCCTTTTTAGTTCGCTTATCAGAGTAGCTCGCGTAGTCCTGCATGGACTGGTACCGAGGCGTACCTCCACAGCGCAACGCTTCGCAGTTCTTTGTCTCTTGGATGAAATGCACCTGGGCCGGCTCAGCCATAATGTACATCCTCCCTCCGATGAACTGCCAGGAGTTAGTGCCTTCGTCTTTCCGGACAAGCTTCAGCTCTTCATCATATATGCTCTCGAACCTCTAAAGAATTCTCTCCGCTGTCTCCCAGGACTCCTTCTCTCCAGTGCAGCCGACCACTATGGAGACGTCGTCTACCATCCTCCAACCCATCACTAGTCTCCTGTCTGCCCCAAGACTTGACAGGTACCTGGCTTCCGCCATCGCACATGTTATCATGGCTAATACTGGGCTCGTGGTCTTCCCCATGGGGATTCCCACAAGCTGTCTTCTGATCACGTCCCCGTGCATCATATAAGCGTGCGAAAGATCATACTCCACCATAGTGCGATGCATCTCCAGTTTCACAGTGGTGTATCCCTCCTCCCTCCGTGTCGTTTTTGACATCTGACACAACTTCCCCCTGTTTGCTATTCTCACCTGCCTCCAACCGAGCTCCTCAAAATGCATGACTAACTTTGACACAGCATCCTTCACTGACGAGTGGGATAACGAGGATAACATCTCCTTGACGTCGTAGCACCTTCCCATCGCCATACTGCATCCTTCTTTCTGCAGAAGGCTTCCCGCCTGGTCAAGTTCTTCCTTCATATCATATGCAGATTTTAGATGAAAATTCCTCACCCGTGAAAACCTCGTAATAAGGCAATTCAGGGCCCTTGCACACCTGCGCTGTGCCATTACTGCCCGATCCCCTCATGCTGGCGCAATCGGTCTCCAACGCTGTAGGTCTTTGTCCTTTGGTAACACGTACGCCTTTCCCAGACTCCCATCCTTCTTCCATTTACCCAGCTCACTAAGATCGGTCTCCTCATAGTCCCGTTTACTCGTAGCCAGGACCTCTGTCTCTGATGCGGCCACAGTCTCATAGTCTGGGTTCCATGTGAAGGTTTTTCCGAAGGCGTGCTTGTAAAGGATCGGACAGATCAGCGCCGTATCTCCGGGATTTCTGTCCACTGGAGCCAGGACCAGCCCTTCATACTGTAATGCCCTGTCTCTCACTTGCCTCTCTGTCCAAGCTGCACTCCTGTCCCCAATTTCTTGGAAGCAGGTTGCTACATCCAGTTCGCGCGTACACTTTCCAAGATAAGCCGTTGCTGTGCTGATGCCCTGCAAAATGTCTTCCCTGCTATTTTGTTTGTCCGTCTTCGTTACATTCTTGGAATTTCGCACAAAAAATGGTGTCTCCTCAATATCAATTAGTCTTCTCAGCACGTGCCCCTCGTGTTTTTTCACCTGAAAACGCTCACATGGACATACGACCGAAAGTGTGTGAGCGAAGCTCCTATAGTTATGTACGATACTTGCTACCGACCGGTTCTTCGTGCACACCAGTCTCACCTTCTTCTTGACGAACGTGGCTACAACTACATCTAGGAGTTTCTCGTCTATCGTCACCTCAGTCTTCCTCCTAACCTTTGACTGCAGTACGGACGCATCAAAAGGGTACTTAACTGTCACTCTTCGACGTATGCTAACACCTGTCTTCCTCTTCAGAACACGGTCAATCTTGATCTTCAGCCTTTCCTTTGTCTCTTTTTTTCTGAAGAAACCTGCGACTCTGTAAAAGCCTACCACCTTCTTTGTTGGAGATCTTGGCAGTGTCGTCACTCGCCTAGGATGCTTGAGTAGACTCAGTAGCTCGTGTCTGTACCGCTCCGTCATAGTTGACGTCTTGCGGATCTTCACGAAAGAAACTTCCCCTCCAACCTCGCACAACTTCTTCGCTTGCCTCAGAAGCATTGAACGACCCCCGATCTTGACCTCCGACATCCCGAACTGTGTCTTTACATTCCTCCACCTATCCGCCCAGGTTAGGCCTGACGTAAAGACAACCTCCTGCCTCCCATCTCCTGCTGTGTGTCTTTCATGCAGCCAGTTCAGGATCGATGTGCGCTCACCCACTTGTGTAGCGAACTTCACGATTGGTAAGCCTACTGTTCTTCGACCTTTCTTCTTTCGTTCTCTCCTTCCCTTCCGTTGTCTTGTATTCTTCCTCTGTTGCCTCCCTTTCCCCAGTGTGTTCTTACTTGGGGACAAATCTCTGATCAGATGTCGCTCGAAGCTAAAATTGTCCTGCTCAGTAGTGTGCCTTAGCGGGAGTACCGTGAACTTGTCTACCCCGAACGACCTCATCCAACGATGAAGTTGCGGTGTTTTTTCCAGCGCATTCGAAGTGGCTGCATGTACATGCTCTCTCCATCTCTGCATAATCGGCCGCGTCGTACATCCTACGTACACTCTCTTTGCCCATGGGCTCACTATGATATATGTCCCACCAGTGCGTAACTCCATCATATCTTCGTCCACATCTGCTTTATCCAAATATTTGGATAACAATTTAATCTCGCCTCTAATTCCGAGTAGCATTGTTGTAGTCGAGATTCTCCGATCTACTTCCGCCATATCAATTACTCTACATTCTACACATATAATTTTTTTTTCCTATTCTATTAATAATTTGATTTATTAGATATTTATTTCCTATTTTGGTATCATATACTATTTATGTCTATATTCTATGTATATTTATTCTGTATATTTATATATTATCCATATTTTCATATTGATTGATATTGAGCAAGCGTACGGAGGCGCCTTCGAGACGCCGAATGGGAAGAATGAAGTCAAGATTAAAGACAAGGATGAGCAAACACCAGACAAGACGCCACCAGAGGTCACGAAGAAGGTAGTGGAGACGCGTGCGAAGGCTAAGACGTTCGTCCCGCCAAGGACGATCATCAGATCTGCTCCGACAAGAGAACAGGAGTCGGGTTGACTAGGTGAGCCCCCTACGACCAGTGAGTTGTGGGCGTCTCTGAGGACGCACACGGATACTAGGCAGACCCTACGGGGGCTAGGGAAGAGTCTCCTTACCAGTTCCATTATCATCTCATCCTTCTTTGCAGCCTTTATGCCCTCTTTATCGCATATCTCTCGAAGCTGATGCACCTTCTTCGCTGAGTAAGCTTGCATCACCTGTAACGTATAGTCGACGAAACCCTCTTAAGAACAGCCCGCTGGTATCCCTTTATAACCTCTGGTGAGTGGCGTTCTTGGCTCATCCTCCGCATCCAGTCTCTGCGTCAACGTGGATGTCGACTTCTTCGAACACTCCCCTTTCTCGCACGTCCTTGCCGGTGCCTTTCTCACAGGTCTTCCTCGTGCCTGTTTTCTCTTCGACTTAACTCTTCTCTTTTCTTCTCGTAGAAGTCTTACCATTCTCAACAACTCCTCCTCGGAATCTTCGCTAGAGTCACTCGATGCTGAATCGCTAATCTCCGAGTCCGACGACGTGGACGAGTCAGTGCTTTGTTTGCTCGATCTCTTCTTAGCATGTCTTCTCCGTACCGGCCTCTTCGACTTTGCCTTGGATATCGTCCTAGTTCGCAGTGACACTTTCGGGCTTCCGTTCTTCACAGTCTCCGTTTGTAAATTTCTCTCTCGGTCCTTTTTCGCCATCTCTTCCTGTTGCCTCCGCCACTTGTCTTCGATGTCCGCTTGCAGCTGCAATTTCATCTCTTCAGTCCTTCTTGCTATATCTAGCTCCCTCTTCCTTTCCTTTTCTTTTTCTCTTCCCTTCTGCTCCTCCTCCGCCCGTTTCCTTTTTTCCTCCTTCTTTTCTTCCATCAGATCCCTCACAAACACATGCACCTCATCATCTTGCTGGCCCGATCTTCCTCGTTTCGACCAACAATCCCGAGCCATATGGCCAGTCTTCCCACACTCATAATACGTCATCCCACCTCTCCCCCCGTACCCACCATTGAAATTGTCGTTATTGTTGTTCCCATTCCCATTATTCATGTTGTTATTCATGTTGTTCGCACCTTTCGCCGTGCAGTCGCTACTTCTCTCTTCCTCGTCCTCCTGGCTTGGAATAAAACTTCGTCCTCCTAGCTAACTCTTCTTCGACTACTCCTCGCCCTCCAGGCTTGAACTAAAATTCTGTCTTCCTGGCTAACTCTTTATCTCTAGGCTAACACATCCACTGTCAGGCTCAAAGAAAGACTCCGGTTACTGTGTTCCCACGAAGTGGCAGACTGCGGCAACAGCCTGTAGGGAAAAAACAGTAGCAGAAAAGTGGTACATGCGTACTTAGAAAACATCCATCTGAATCAGCGACAAACTCGAAGAAACGTCACAATGAGTACAAAACGAAAACAGCTTCTGCAAGCTCAAATTCACAGCTTCCAAAAAAATTACTCTCACTTCACGCTACGCACCATTACTACCACCATAGCTATCTCTCCCAAGGTACGACAAAGTAGTTCCCTTCTACCGGTTTCGTCCGCCTACTCAACGGAGTCGTCAGGAAGGCGTATCCTCTCGGGCACTTCTGTCCAAAAAGGTGGCCTGGTTCGATATATAATGAAATATATATATATATATATATATATATATATGTATATATATATATATTTTTTTTTTTCATTTAAGAACCAAGCTTCTAGTAAGATGATGGAGAACAAAGTTGTAAAAATTTTGAATTTTAAAATAGTAATTAAAAAAGAAATGCTCATGAAACACTTCCATCTGAAAAAAGAAAGACARAGAAAAAAAAAAAAAAACACTTCCATCAAAATTTGATATTGCTTCACTCCTTTCGTTGTTTTCTGCATTCTCGTACCCCTTTTCTTATCTATTTTTTGCCCCTTTTTTTTTTTTTTTTTTTTTTTTCAACTTCAAAATTTGAAAGAGAGACTGAAGAGCAAAAAGACAAACATTTTATTCCTTTTTTACCCCCTTTTGCTCTTTTTTTTTTTCCAACTTCAACATTTAAGTAAGAAACTGGAAGGCAAAAAAACAAACATAAATATAAATTGAAAAGGAAGAAAAAAGTAAGGTACCCCTAGTAGCAATTCAAATTATTCAATGTATGGCCAAATTCTCAATAATGGCAGAAAAACAGCACGGAAATATGAAAAAAAAGTACCAACCGGCTGAGAGTTTTCTTTATTTTTTTTCTCTTAAAAAAAAAAACAAATAATGAAAATAGAAAAAATTTATCACATGAGTTTTTGTTTTGACGTGTCTTTATTTTCTGACCACGACTGTGAGATAAAGCAAGTCGGGAGCAGTTTGTTATTAGTACCATCTTCACCCGAATAGAACGCCTGTTCATTATGGTTGTACTTGGTGCAACTTTCAATCCAGATACAACAATAATTACCGGGTGTTCTATTCGGGTGAAGACGGTTGTTTGCAGAGGTGGTTACATAAATGGGTGGGTGAGCCTTTTGATTTGAAGAGTGGACTTCGTGGTGATGATGTCACCATAGACAAAACAAGTTAGACCAATTTTCTTATGATAACGTCATCACCAAGAGACATTTGATCCCCCACTGCCTTGCTGACTCCTTTTGTGCTCGCAACGTCTTTCCCCCCGAAGCTTGTGTGTTTGACGTGTGGTTTAGCTGCCTTTGTCAGTGTCGCTTTGTGCCTCTCTGCATCCGATTTGTTGCCTTCATGCCCATTTGTGTGCCTTGTCTTTCCGTGTATTTTAATATATTTTTTTTGAAGAAACATCCGACGGGGGAACTTCTTCTGCACAGAGGGATAAGAGCCCGTGCTGATAGCAGGGTTCCCCTGGGTAGATGGCTCTTGTCTTATTCCCATATCACAAATGGTTAACAACCACCTGAAATTTCAAAATGAAAGATTCTGAAGTGGTCTGAAACCGCTGAAATGGCCTGAAGGCACTTCAGGTCATTTAAGACGTTTCGGGTGGTTTGGAGGACAAGTTTTATGGGGGGGGGGGGGGGG